CCTTGAGTATATCCCACCTGAATTTAGGGACCATCTTAAGAATAGATTTGATGCACTGAACGCTAATGACTGAAGACCAGATGAGTTGTGGAATGACATCAAGGACATCATACGTGAAGAAAGCAAAAGATCATTAAAAAGACAGGAAAGAAGGAAAAGACCAAAATGGATGTCAGAAGAGACTCTGAAACTGGCTTTTGAACATTGAGTAGCTAAAGTGAATGGAAGAAATGATGAAGTACAAGAGTAAAAGAGATGAACATAACCTTTCGAAGGGTGGCTCAAGAAGACAAAGTAAAGTATTATAATGAAATGTGCAAAGACCTGGAGTCAGAAAACAAAAAGGGAAGAGCATGCTTGGCATTTCTTAAGCTGAAAGAACTGAAGAAAAAATCCAAGCCTTGAGTTGCAATATTGAAGAATTCTGTGAGGAAAATATTGGACAATGGGGAAGCATCAAAAGAAGATGGAAAAAATACACAATCACTGTAACAAAAAGAATTGGTCAGGAGGCGGGGTCAAGATGGTGGAGTAGTCAGACGCTTCCTGTGGTCCCTCTTACAACAAAGACCCGAAAAAGCAGGTGAATTGAGTATATATGACCATCTAGGATCCCTGAACATCAAAGGCAAAGTTGAGGAATAGAGCTGAGTGGTGGGGGAGGGGAGAGACAGTTTGGAAGCAGCGAGGAGTTGCCAGAACTGACCTGGTGGGAGCTGGCGCACATCAGGCCAGATCAGCTTATGTGCACGGTGAGGTAACCACTGCCACTCAGGAGGCATTTTATACATGGGGAGAGACCCAGCAGCAGAATCTACTCAGGCATCCAGAACCAGTGACAAGCAGTGCTCCACTGGCAAAAAATAAGTGCTTGCATCTGGCCTACCACGCGGATCAAAAAACACCCCACTTTGGGAAAAACCTCTCTCCCATGTACCTCCCCAACCCCTGCTCTGCAGCAGGTCCCGGGATGGCTTCAGCGATTGCCAAGCCCCCTGGGCCGGAAGTAGGACCTGTCCCATGCCCTGAGCCATTCTCCTGGCCTTGGAGAAGGAACAAATGAACAGACAGGGAAAAAATAATCTGCCAGCTCCCCTAAGCCAGGAACTCAGGGTAGGCACAGCTCCTTTGCCTAGGCACAGGCATAAGGGGTCCACAGACTTTGATTGCCTTTCACCTCTGCATAGGGCCCATTTCAACAGCGTAGACCCTCATTAACACAGTACAACAATCTAACTGTTTCAGCTGTAAAGTTGCAGGTTTGTGACATTTGACAGTGCTCTGCTCATTAAGCAGGGCTCGCCTACCCACATCAGGCACCCGAGGGCTGGTGGCTCCACCCACGCCACCTAGCCATCCGCAACAGGGGTCTAAGAATAAGTGGTACCCCCTAATTCTTACAGCCAGCAGCACGGAGTGCTCATAGTCCAGCTGTAAAACCCACCCACCTATACACTCTAGGGAACAGAGACACACTTTATTCCCAGACACTAGCGTCAGCCATCAGCCTCCTACCTTGCTAAGCGCACGACCCCCTACTGCAGCCAGATACCTGTGCCTACACCAATCACTCATGCCTTTCTAGGACTGTAGATGACAGCCTACCAAACATAAAATAAATGTAATAATTTGTTGATGGCTCGGAGAC